CCCCCACACCCCCTCCCACCAGTCGCGGTTGCACGTTATAATTCCTTGGCCGGTTACCGTTTACTTGGATTCATTAATTAAAAAAGTCAGGCAGTTAAAGAGTGATATACGATCCTGTCGATGTAAGAATTTCAGTCTCAAAGTTGTGAGCGTCAGGTCTGATAGGGGGGGGGTCCGGACCCCCCGGACCCTCCCCCTGGATCCGCCACTGAATTTCATACCGTGTGAGGATCACTGAGGTAAAATGAGCGAAGTTTGTGTAAAAAACTTTATCTGTAATACAGATATTATTTGTACACGCTTTTCGATACAGCCAGTTAAGCGTCGAAAGCAGCTCCGTGATATATACGTCGGAATACGTCAGAATTACCTCATACTTTTTTTTCTTTTATGACTGTTTATTCGTATCTGCTAAAAAAATATCCCGATTCTATAAATTCCACCATTGTTGTGTCATTATCTGTGCCGCAAGACTTCCCTGTTGGGCGAGAAAAGAATAAATTATATTCTAAGATTCAATATCGAGTTCAACGTAAACTCATTTGCGTGCATAAAACTAGCTTCAATGCGAGAAACAGATGCAATATCATTCGCTACAACAGTGCCAAAGTTGTGTTTAGTTTTGGAGAAGGCGAATCATTCAGTTACACCACAGGTTTTGTCATTTTTGGACCATCATGTTGTCCTTACACGTTGGTGATCAGCTTAAAGGTGGGTGACCATATTTGAAACAGAAAATTGGTTAGAAAACAACTCCGAGATTTCGCATATCAAACAAGAAAAGAGAGGGTTCTTCACATGGGTTTACAATACTATGAAAACCATGCTATCGAGTTTTTCATTCCACGTAGTTAGAGCTATTTTACTTAATTTTAGACAAGAAAACGTATGAGTTTCCTCTTCTTAAAGATAAGAAACAGTGTTCTGAAGTCGGATAGTCATTTCAATCGAGTTCCTCGTTTCAGACACGAATAACGTGACAGTTCGGACTGTAAGTAGACGCCATTATAATATCTTCGAGTAGAAGTGAAGCATTTATTCCCTTGCTTCCAAAATGGCAAGTTGTGCCAAGTTAAGGCTTGTTAACTCAACCGAAATGTAATTATCTTTTTACTGTTGCTTAGAGCTAATAAAAAATGATTAAGATTTCCCAAAATAGTTTTTTTTAACGAGACCAATTTATCACAAAGATGGCGAAAGCGGAGGGATAATTAAACATTGGAAGGTCACTGTTTCAAAAGTTACTAGCACTTTCGAGAGTTTTGTTGTGCGGTTGTTCTAACGAAAGAAAAAGGGACATTAAACTTTCTACACCCCCTCACGGATGATGAAAAAGAAAAATATTCGTTCGTCATAATTAATTCTGGAAGGAATATGTCATTAGCGCACCATTCAACTAAAATTCTGATCAATTTGGAATTCAGTGATGTTTCGTACTCTTATCATTCGATGATTCTTCGCTGGATTAAATTTCTACAAAGCTTCGGATTTATGTAATGAAAAGACTTAGAACCTTTGATGGACAGTTAATCGAGCGATCGACAAAGGATCCAATTGCAAACGCGTATATTATTTATAGGCTAATTTAGAACAATTACGCAAAAAAATCAATGATGCTTAAACGCCGATCGAATGGTTAGGATGTGAAAATCTCGTGTAAGTATGTGGACAGATTTCTTTGTAAAGTTAATGATCTTTGCGCGAAATCGTGGGACAATTATTTTATATACTGGCTCAATTTTGACGGCGTCTATATGTGTAAGACTAGTCGATCAATACTGGTTATAAATCACCGAACTACTTCAATGCTTCGATAATTTCCCATGAACACTGCTATCGTAATATTTATTTTCACAGAAGCGCTTTGGTCAGACTCTGCAAAAAAAAAAAAAAAAAAAAAAAAAAAAAACCAGTAAACATCTTTCTTGGCTATATCCAGTCTCATTAAAATAACGATGTTTTCTTTTGCGTCGACAGATAGCGAGGAAAAAGGCAAGATGCAAAGTTATAGAAGCATCGAACAGCTAGAAGCCTTGGCGGGTGGGTTAAACAAGATTTTTAAGATAAATGATTCGATCATTAGAAATATATGTTATTATAGATATCACAGAGAGTTCTGAGCACATATGTAGTGAAATATTCTGTTAGTTTTGGGCTAAATTTTTTCGTTAGTTTCCGGCTCCCTGAATCAATGAAAGTAAAAAAAATTCATGTTTAAACATGATTTTCAGATGTAAATTAAAATCGACATGGGGTCGTGTGCTCTAAATAGTTAGTCTGAAAAAGGACAGCAGTATTCTCGATAAAATCCCGCAACTTAGTTTGAAATGTGATAAAAATTATTCATCAAATTATATAACCATGTTATTTATGTTGCCGTGAAAGTCATTGTTGACGTGATTTCATTCTAGCTATGCGACGTAAACTTGAGTATATTTTCGATATTGTTTATGAAATATCCTGTTGTTGTTTTCCACAGCCTCTCCGAGTGGAATTACCA